TTCACTCTTTAATACTTTGCTTGTTAAATGACTAATCTAGATTTATGTTGTATAACACTTAGTACAACAAATGTTTGGTACTTTCATAACCCATACTGTATGGTATAACCAACACCTGAGCTATGAAAGGACCTTAATTTGTTGTTAACATAAGTTATAATCATGAATGTCTAGCGAGATTTACAAGTATTAGCATTAATCGAGTAAGATAACTAATGTAATCATGTTAATAATTTATAATCTGATTAGAACCTTTTTTGTGTGTGGTTTCAAATTAAGTAATAAGAGTTTATACTATATTTGTTTGACATACCATTAGTGGATCCTCTAACCTTGACATTTGTTGTTATCATTGTCTAATCCTTACATTGATATTCCATCTCAATGTTCTCATCAACTTCTTCTTCTTCTTCTTCTTTATTATTATTATTATTAGTACTACTATTATTAATATTAATATTATTATTATTACTACTACTATTATTATTGTTACCATTGTAGTTATTATTGTTGTTGTTATATTTTGTTATCTATAATTTATACAATTAACCTCCTTGTGGTTTTGCCCGGTTATTTATTACTTTGACACTTCTGCACTTGGGAGAACACATCAATCTTTTGGTCGTGTCACAAGTCATCCATTACAATATGACCATTTTAAAAAATCTTTGTGTTTTTCACCTAGGCAGATCGTCCAGTACCATGAGACCTCTTTGAAAAATCTTTGTGTTTTTTACTTGGGTAGGTCACCCATTACAATAAAACCACTTTGAAAAACCTTCGTATTTTTCACCACTTTGAAAAATCTTTTCAATTTTCATCTAAGAAAGTTACCCATTACAATGAGACTACTTTGTAAACTCTTTTTCATTTTTTCTAAGCGGATCACCCATGACAATTTGACCATTTCAAAACACTTTAAATTTCTTCAATAAGCAGGTTCTCTAGTACAACTCTACCACTTTAGAAAAAACTTTTCGGTTTTTCCTCTTAGGGCGCTTTTTTATCCCTTATTTCAAATATTTTTAAAAGGATTTATCATTTTTTGATATGATAAGTTCGTTATCTCTTATTATTTTTTTCTTTATAAAGCTTATTATCTAAAGTCTCTTACAAGACTTTCTATCATAAGCATTATAAAGAAGAAGGCAATTATCATAACTCATTTCTGGATTATTCTTTAAATTTATTTTTTTCTTCCAAAATTGAAAACAAAATAATGCTAGTAACATGGAGAAAGAAAGCTAATGAGGATTTCAAATATATAGAAAAATTAAGCTGCAATTTTAGATGTGCTTTGAAGCCTAATTATACCCTATTATATTCAAGATTGAAGGAACAATGCAAATAAAAGATAAAATTAAATAATTATTAGATGAATCTGCATAGAAAATAAGCCTAAGGAGATAATTAGATTTTTTAATAGACCAATTTGATTTAATCATGAGTCAAATTAAAGTTTAATTATGTTTAAGAATTACTTTGAATCGCCCTTATCATCATCATTCCACCATTGTGGAAATCACTATATAGGTTCTGATGGATTGTAGAATGATAGGAATCTAATTGATTGAAATCAAGGGTGAAATTAAAAGTTTAATGGTGACATGACCAAAAGACTAATGTCTTCTCCTAAATGCATAAATGTCGAAATAATAAATAAATCGGCAAGATCGGGGTCAAACCACAGGGAGGTTAATTGTATAAATTATAAATAACAGTAATATAACAACAACAACAAGAATAATAATAATAATATTAATAATATTAATAATAGCAGCAACAATAATAGTAATAATAATAATACTAATACTAATAATAGTACTAGTAGAAATAATAATAATAATAGTAATAGTAATAGTATTAGTAGTAGTAGTAGTAGTAGTAGAAGAAGAAGAAGAAGAAGAAGTTGATGAGAACTTTGAGATGAAAAATTAATGTAAGGATTAAACAATGATAATAACAAATGTTAAGGTTAGATGATCCACTAATGATATTCCAAATAAGTATAGTATAAACTCTTATTATTTAACTGGAAACCACACACAAAGGATGTTCCATTTAGATTATAAATCGTTAACATGATTACATTAGTTGTCTTATTCAAATAATGTTAATACTTGTAAATACTGTCAAGCATTCATAATTATAATTTATGTTAATAATAAATCAAGTTCCTTTCATAGCACAGG